TGGGTTCTGGGGTGGGCAGTTCCCTCAGGTCACCAAGCCAGCCTGGCTTTAAAACCTTTTTCCAGGTGGCTGTCAGTCAAGTGCTAGCCCAGTCTGCTGGGGATTGGGGGTGCACAGTGGGATGCTCAGCTCCCAGGGAGCACACACTGCTGCTACCCTCAGGCCAGGGGATGGTGGGGCCCTTTTACAGCATCACGTGTCACATGCTGCCCTGGGTGGGGGGACAGGGAGGTGGCTGAGATCTGGAGAAGTCATTGGCTGATGGGAGCTGAGGTTTCCACAACTCTTCCCTGCAGAGCTGGACCCTGGTTACCGCCCCATGTACTCGGGTGACATCCCCCTGGACCCCATCGACATGCACATGGACATGGACGGGGACTACCCCATGGACGCCTACAGCGACGGCGTCCGAGCGCCCTTCGCTGACCACATGCTCGCCTAACCCCCTGCAGCCCCACACCAGGTACCTGCCAGCACACCTGGGCTCAGCCCTGTGGCTGAGGGTGGCCAGGGGAGGCAGGGCTGGCCGGTGGCTGGGGGGTCCCTGGTGCCGCCACGGATCGGTGTCCCCGTCACCTGTGGGCCCAGGGGAGCCTGTGCTCTGGTCTCCTCCCAAATCCCCCTCGGTGGATGACGGGAGTTCTCTGCCCCTGCAGGTGTTCTCTCCATGCAGAAGAGGGTGTCCCCAGAGCTGAGCATTCGCAAGAAGGACTTGGGAGACAGAAGTGCCTGAGAAGACAAAACTTTTCCATTCCCACGAGAGGTTTTATTTTTCGATTTGTTTTCTTCGCTGTGGGTCTGTGGAGAAGGTCCTTCCTCCTGGGACTGCTTCGAGCACCTACTGTGCCACATTCAGCATCCAAGATACTGTTTCTGAAGCTTTAAAACACAAACCTTGCACCGTTAGTGATCTTTCATTGGCAAAATAGTCTTTTCTATGAATATATATTTCTTTTTTATTTTTAATATGGTGCCAATGGCTTTTGCCGTCTTTAAGTTTGTGCTTTCTAACTTCCCCACGATTTGTTCTGCGTGTTAGTGTTCTAGGAGAGGAATCTGACATGGAAAAACCCTTTGCTTCCTCCAAACTCCAATTGAATCAGGCCAATCCAGAGTTTGCTGAAAGCAAAGGCTTCATGTCCCAGGACCTTCCAGGGTGTCTGAGGTTTAATTCTTTCCCATCAGCCGCTGGGAGCTGACTTCGTGTCCCTGTCTTGCCAGTCCCCATAGAGGAGTGACTCCAGCATTAGGAACTGTGTCCTTGTACTGATCTTTGTTGCACATTTTAACCCCATTTCCCTTCTCTTTGGTGAGTGGTGTGTTTCCGTCCCCTCCTCCCTTATCTAATGCATTTTTTAAAAGAAGCTTTAGATCTGATGGTTTAACACTCCAGCTGGAAAGGGATGGACAGTTACTGGAGTGTGGGTCAGGAATGGAAGATTTTATTATTTCTGTAAGTTGTTTTTTGTATAGACCAAAGCAAAGAATAAAATAACCCCTGCAGCCCCGTGCTGCCCTGAGCCTGTTCTTCTGTTGGCTGGGGACGGTCCCTGGGGGCAGCCAGGGGAAGGAGCAGCCATCGCCCTCTGTGAGCCCATGGCGAGTCCCTCCATGGGGCAGAGTGGGAACTTCATTCCCTTGCTTGGCACCTGCTTTGCCTGGATGTGGGCCTAGGCTGCCACAGAGCACGGCAGGATCCCGAGGTTCATGTGCCGTGCTCGGGACGGGAGCAAGTGGGGACAAAGCAGCAGGAGCCGGTCTGGGAAGTGAGACTGGGGGGAACATCCTGCCCCAGCTCAGCGCCGTGGCTGCAGCCAACCCCGGTGCTCAGGGAAATGGATCTGCTTCCTGCCAGGGCCCGTGCCAGGAGCAGCGATGAGCAAAACAACAGCTGCTTTCCGGGCAGTCCCTGCAGAGCCCTGTGTGCTTCCCGAGGGCAGTGGGGCTGGGCTGGCTCATGGGGTGAGGCTGGGGGTCAGACAGCCCTCGGCCTGCTGCAGGTGCTGCCAGAGCAGGAGACAATGAGTGACAGGCCTTGGTTCCAGCCCTGTGTGCCTGGGATGGGCTGTGCAAAGCCTGGACCCCACCTTGTGGCTCTCAGGGGTTGCAGGGATGTTCCTGCTGTCAGATCTGGCTGTCCCCAAAGTGCCAGCAGGTCTGGAGATGACCCAGAACATCTTCCCTAGGAGGGGTCGGGTCCATCCGTCCCGGAGCCGTGGGCAGGGATGGGACCCCTGCATATGCTGGGGCAGGAATGCACATCCCGAGATCCCCAGTCCACTGCGGCAGAGCTGCCAGGGGGCATGTCCGGGATTTTGGGGGGAAGTGGAGCCAGAGGACACTTGGACCAGAGCAACCGGAGGTGTTTGCGGGGTTCCCAAGGAGCGGCACCCCCGGGTGGGCTCCGGGAGCGGCGGGACGGACTTGGGGATCCCGGCAACCTCGGCGGGGCCGGGAGCGGTGTCCGGGGGCTCCGTGGGGAGCAGCACCCAGCGTGTGTGCG